GCACTCGCCAGACAGACAGAAAGCGAGAAATCACCCCCCAGGGGGGATGGCCACACCACAATCCCTTCTCCTCCATTCTCCTCTCAGGACCTTGGGCACGCATGCACACGTGCCCGGCGTGAGTTTTAAGTCACTGGGTCCAGGACGCGAACCATGGTCGACTATGTGGGAGTCCAGCGACATAGCCATTACGCTAACTGCTAGTTCCCCACAAGATATATTCTTAAAAAAATAAATCCTAGATTGCTTCAAACTCTTCCCAGCTGGGGGGTGGGAGTGGTATAAATAACTGAAATACAAAGTTCTGTGTCTTCTTTGCAAAATGTCACTCTCCAACTATCTAACGTATCTCCTGTCTTGAGTACATAATCACCAGTCCTCACTCTGTCTTTGCTGGTAGCCTTGGACATTACTGTGAAAACAATAGTGGCAACAAGAGATGAGAAAGAAAAAATGTCAGTTCCTATGACCATCCAAACTATAAAACAAAATAATGCCAAGAAGAAGTTGTAAACAATATAATTAGTTAGGACTGAAAGCTAGTAACAAGACCACGGAAAAGGTCTAGGTAGAGTTGGTCTTTTTTTAACCAAAAGATATTCCTCTCCCAGTCCAAGATTATTTTTCTGCTTCATCAAGAAATTTTCTTGATCGATAGTTTTTTTTTTTGTTTTTTGTTTTTTTTTTTTGAGAGATTTTCACTGTAGGGCGCATGTGCTCGCCAGACAGACAGAGAGAGACATAGAGACAGAAAGCGAGAAATCACCCCCCAGGGGGGATGGTCACGCCGCAATCCCTTCTCCTCTTGGGATCCCGGGCACGCCCGCACATGCGCCCGGCATGAGTTTTAAGCCACCGGGTCCAGGACACGAACCGCAGTCGACCACGTGGGAGTCCAGCAACATAGCCATTACGCCAACTGCTGGTTCCCTTGATCGATAGTTTTAAAAATAAATAAAAACCATCTCTAATCTTAGAATCATAGACTCTTGAGGCTAGGAGAAATCTTTTTATGGTCATTTTTGGAATTTATGAGATCACATGAAATTATGAATGTTTAACATATTGACTTGCACAATCCGATTTATGAATATTCTTTAAAGGCGAAAGGCAGTGATTCTGTAAGTGATGTCCTATGCCTTTAGAGTAATGAAATATAACCCAGAGTGGCCTGGATCTGGATTCTATATCTATATCCTCTCTCTTTTTTAAAAGACTTTTAAAATTATTAATTATAGACAGCTCATACTGCAAGAGAGAGAAAAAGAGAGAAGGAGAGGCGCCCTCAACAGGGTCTCATCACTCTGCAATCCTCTTTCCAAGACTTCCAACTTGTCAGGATCTTGGACATGCATGCGCATTTCCAGTGTGTTTTCAGGCCAACCCAAGGATCTGAACCCATGGTCGGCCATGTGGTTTCCAGCACTACAGTTTGATTTGTTACCAACTGCACCACTAGGTTGAATTCTCTCTTTTTAAAAAATATACAAATTGATATATAGAGAAAAACATATCCCAAAATAGCACAAGGGCAATACAGCTTATCTTTTAACATTTAAACCTTCTGGCAGAAAAATGAAGACAATGAACAGCTACTATGTCCTAGTATAATGGTAGATCAGGAAAGAAAAGTCTCCAAATACATATTCCTGAAATACTGAAATGATCTTTTGTTCATTTCATTTCTAGGAAGTCACTTATACCACCCCAATAGTGAACTATCTCCCTTGCTTTCAAAAACCATCAGGCATTGGACTAAGTAAGCACTTCTTAGGTTCCTCTACCTTCACATTCCACACTGATCCTGGGTATGTTCTTACTCGACAGATGAAGAGGCTGAGAATTGGAGAGGCCACGTAACAGGTCCAATGTCATATGGCTCTTAAATGGCTTGGTACAATTTGAACTCCATTGAAATTCATTACAACTCCTAAGCCCATGCCCTGAAACACTAGACCATAGTATCTTTAAATAAAGAGATGTGACTTCCAAAAACCAAATGGGAAAACAATATAAAGGATCTACTCATCTTAGAAGGCTGCACAATGCCAAGAGAAGGTTTTAATCTATCCATAATCTTTATAATGTTTCAGCATATGACTCACTGGACTTCATCTAAACCTCTGCCTCCAGCTTGTAAGCAAATGCTCTTGCCATCTCTGGGCAACTTAATTGAATGAGCTTTGTCATGTGCTCCTAATTCTCTGTCCTGACTAGCTCTCCATCAAGACAAACTCAGGAAACATCATTTGCAAAAGGTGACATTTAGTCCTCTTGGAGAAACAAGTTAGTTCCTACAGCTTTTTTCTCTGATTTTCTCATAGCTCTTCTAGAATATTCTGGAAAGAACTTCAGGCTTAAAGCAGAGCTCTGGCTAGAAAGATTTGCCTACCCTTCTTAACAGAACTGCCAAAGAGTCCATCAATTTTCCTCTTCCCCACTCTCCTAAAAAGGTGCAGCCTCATATTCCAATGCTATTCTTCCAAGAGAATAGTTCTAGAATATAGTAAGTATTCATTAGAACTCATTCTGCATAGCTGTGAAAAAGAATGTTCTCTGAATATCCACTCCCATGCCTAGCTCCATCATCATAATAATGTCTATGATGCTCTTTATTACTTAAAAAAGTGTTCACAACATTTTCTACTTTATAAAGTGATTTAGAAAAACTACTTCCTAAGACTAACCCTATAACCAGGTGGTTAAGGGAGCCTAACCCCATATGGCTACCAGAGTTTGAGTCCTGACCCCAGCAGCTTAAAAAACATACCAACGCATATGCACGCATGCCCCAAATCCCAACAGAGTGGGATTGATATGATCATACTTCCTTGCCAGGGGTGAGGGGTCTTGGGGGGCTGCCTTCTCTTCTCCTTTTCTCCCTCTTTTTATCTCTCTCTGGTAAGTGCACGTGCCTTCTGGCAAATGAAAGAAAGAAAAAGAAAAGAAGACAGGAGACCAGAAAGACTCCTGAACTCTAGGGATTTATGATTTGGGCCTTGAAGTACCTCAGTGAACTCAGAGAAACCAATGGACTTTCAACAATCCTCTCTTTGACAACAATCTTCTGTTTCTGCCTCCTTACCATATTTAGATTTGTTTTTTAACCATATACAATCTGTAGGCTACTCCTAGGGATACAGCTGGAAGGGATGGAGGATTATCACCTGATATGTGAAATTCACATTGGTTGGGACCAATAGTTAGCGTAATGGCTATGTTGTTGGACTCCCACGTAGTTAACAGTGGTTCGAGTCCCAGACCTGGTGGCTTAAACCCACACCGGGCACGTGTGCATGCATGCCCGAGATCCCGAGAGGAGAATGGAGGAGAAGAGATTTCTTCTTGGTCCTCTCCCCTGGGGGGTGATTTCTCGCTTTCTGTCTCTCTGTCTCTATCTTTCTGGCAAGCATATGTGCCCTATAGCAAATATCTCTCAAAAAAAATTTTTTTTTTTAAAAATTCACATTGGTTGCAGCACTTTAATAAAAGACAGGTTTTTCTACAGAGATCTTTCCTGCAAAGAATAGGAAGATACAGGAAGTCCTTGTTTTTGATCAAAATGAACCCAGAGTTGTGTCAGATTGCCACATATTTTTTAATTATGGCCTAATTTATTTCCCCATTCTGAAGAAAACAGAAAAAAAGCTAATAACAGAAACCTATATTCTAAGGGCAAGAGTTCCTTTTTTCAACATCATCAAAAACATTATTCATCTATTCTATTAGCAAAAACAAAAAACTAAAACAAAGCTTTACCATGATCTCCAACAAAGATGACATTTACACATCGATGCAGCTTTAGTTGTTTCAGTCCATCCATTAATTGCCCCACAATTTTGTCAATTTCCCTCAGAGGATTTGTCATCTGGAAAAAGAAGTGAGTTAGTCCTTGCAGGTTTCCTTGCTTTTGTTTTGTTTTGTTTTGTTTTTCCTCTCAGGGTCTCATAGATCTTCTACCCCTAGAACATTCTGGAAAGAAAACTTCAGGCCCAGAAGCAGAGCTTTGTCTAAGGGAGATTTGCCTGCCATTCTTAATGAAAACCTGGTTTAAAGACTTTGTATTCTTTGAGGAGAATTAAACCTCTCCTCATCTGATTGCTTTCAAGATTCTTTGACATAAAAAATATCAGAACTATTATTAATGGAAATTCTTGCTCTTAGAAATAAAATGGTCTTTCCAATATGTAACTACATTTTTTAAATCTAGCAGTTTTGACAGTGAGAAGGAAGTCAGATGGACAGTTTAAGCCTTACATTCCCTAAGTGAAATCACATTAGGTTTTGCATCATGATGAGAAGTTAGAAGCTAAGTGAATCAAAAACAGTCCCAAGTTTAATATCATAACCCTCTCCTGGACAATAACTAAGAATATCATTAACACAATGGAATCCATGTTGTGTACCAAAGGATTTAACTACCAATTTCTGATATCAACAGATTCTTAATAGAAGAGCCTATTCTAAGAAACAAGCAACTGCTTCTCAATTTAGTGCCTTTCAAGCTGATTTTGAGTAAAGTAAGAGTCTAAAATCCCTTACTTAAACAGAAGTGAATTACTGAGCTTGTTCCAGAAGGTTTCTTACTTAGTATAATGAAGTCAATAAAACCAAATCTCTGACAAACATCTCTGAAGCCTACCAAACATAATCTACCTATCATTTTCTTGCTTCAAATGGAGGTTTCTAGCACATAATAAAGGCTTCCCCTCTCTTGCTCATCTCCAACTATGTAATAAAAAGATTTTTCAGAAACTTTACCAAACACTCAATGGTGCTTTAGATGAACATTAGATCTTAGCTTAACAATCTCACACATACACCCACGATGACAAAGATAAGAACAGAGAGTATCTGAACATGACTTTTAGATAGACATATAATATCATCTTCTGTTAGTGTCTTCTCAGATAAGTCCAGACCTTTCCTGCTACCATTTCATCCATGAAATCAGGTGTAAGCTTTTTTCTTCGTAACTGGAGTCCCCATTTCAAATCCTGTCCCAAGAAGTAAACCACAATTGAAAATTCAGCATGAGATGTGCAGTACAATCTGAAGGGACCAACAGATGTGGGACTAAGTGGCATTTGCTTTTAAGAAAATCATGCTTTCCTCTAAGATCTTTGTCCAAAGAAATACCAAACGCACAACATGTGACAGTCCTTGGCCATGACTAATTTTCCTCTACTCACACAAACAACTCAGGTAAAATTCAGAACCTACTTTGTAATGATCATTCCAGACAATCATAAATAGGACACTGCCTCAGAAATAGGTGAAGGTTTCAGGGGAAATAACAACCCATAGACTCTTCTGAAAATACTAGACAGAGTAGAAGTTAGTAATAGCACTATGAGAAAACACACACACTCTACCTGTGCATTGCTTATATGTCCTTCAGTTCAGCTACTGCTTTTCTATAATCTAAGAACTTTTATAATCTCCGATGGTACAGATTGCTCATCTAAACCAACTTTCTATTTACTTCTAATTTCCATTCTCTTTGAGGACTCCCTCTGCTCCCATATAAAGTTTTCACAAAACCACAGCCACAAACCATTGTCACTAATTCTGTGAATAAGTACAAGCAAAACTAATAGCTTCCTAAACAGTCATCCCAGCCTGTTCATCTTAATTTCTGGGCAACTAATTCTAAGAGTTAAAAGTCTCCTTTTTTGTTCTGTCTTGCTAAAAGTCAAGACATATTCACATGAGTGTTAACCTCTGAAGTTCCATATCTTTCTGGACTCAAAGTCAAAAATGATGCACCAACGTCTCCCTAACACTTATTCGGTCCATTTTGAAGCCAAGGCACTGAAGGAAACCTTCAACTCAGACCTGCCCGCCACAAAGCTTTGGAACAATAGGTCGACTTACTTTGTCCTGACGAGTTTCCGCAGCATAATGATCCATCCTATGTATTTTTCTTCTTCTTTTCTTTGGAGGAGCAACTGGTCTTTCCTGTCTCCTCTTAGGGGCAACTTTCCTCTTAGGTCTCTTAGCCGGAGTAAGAGGTGAGCCATAACTACTCTCCTGTACTGGCGGATAGAGATGTCTGGACTCAGAAGTCGTCTGTCCCTCTGGATCAGATAGTAAAGCTCACACTTTCCCGTCTGGGGTCAGCAGAGTCTTAGGAAAACTAAATATCCTTAAATGAGGACAAACTGGCTTGAGGAAGGTTTCAGGGACATCTACAGAGGATGCCTCCTAAATCAATCTTGATGTTATTGATCAAGTTTCTTCACTGAGATCAAGAACATAATTTAGGAGAATCTACTCGTGGCTTTCTTTCAACTGAGGGGACTACTCGTGGAGATACCTGAAGATGATGTTAGAGAAGTTCTGCATTCCTTGTTCCTATGTTAGAGAGAGACTGATCCTTTGTTCTGACATGCTCTCCATTTATAACATACCATCTCAAAACTAAACAGAATACTTGTCACTTGGTCCTCTCAAGATGACAATGAGGTTCATGTAAGTGATTCTCACAGACAGGTGTCTAGCTGCTGATACCACTGAATATTCTAAAGCAACCAACACATTCAAGGACGAATTCCAGGAAAAAAAAATTTAAACAAACCAAGGATGGACTTAGACATGAATTATAAGCAATCCCCTGTAGTACTTCAATCAACTGGGACTTTGGGCAGGAGAGAGAACTTCTCAATGATAATTTGCATTTCCAGTACAGAGGAAGGGAGACTAAGCCAAATTCTCTTTTTTAATTAGGTAAAATGTAAAAAGTCATCAAGACTGTTTGATCTTAGTGTACAGATCAAGGAAGAGGCTATTTATACACTTGCTGTCCAAAACCCAGGGGAATGGCAGTGCTATGCATCTCGTTTTGAAAATCCAGAGAGCAATTACTGAGTAAGGAGGATAACCTTTCACAACTTCCCATGCTGGGGAAAGCCAGCCCCTGATTTATTGATGGTGCAAAGGTGAATTAAAGCAGCAAGCCCTGCCATCTACCTGACTTCTCTCTGTAGGACTGTTCCGAGAGCCATTCAGATGCAGGAAGGGGCAGGAGGAGGAACGTTAGTGAATCCAAGAACATCTGCCATGCGAT